TTTTGTGGTGTTTCGTTTTTTGTGGTGTTTAAACGTTGTATCATCTCCCTTGTGCTCTGTTGGTGTCATTTACGGCTTCTTCCGAATTATTCCAGAGGAGGTACGATTTGGTCTCCACTTCTATCAGGTTTTATGCTTAGGCTCTATAAACAGAACAGTGCTGCATTTTGTTGTGATTCGTCACTGCTTGTCGCCTCTGCTCTGCGCTACAGCTTCTTTTGTTACTAACAAGCACAGTTTCATTTCATGTGGCTGTTCTGTGATGCTGTACCGCTCTTGTGCTTTCTAACCTGTTGCGGCCATTCAGATTTTGTTCAATACTGGATCATTTTCTCGTCTATCCTCGTCCCAGGAAATATTTCAGTAACACTTCATTTTTGTTATATATAACTAGTTATTAATAAAAAGTGACACACAATTGAAACGAGTTGGTTGGGTGAGTATGAACTGAGTCGGCCATCAGTTACCGTTGTCGTTCCTCAACCATGTTTCAATCTTTCGAATGAACTTGAAGGGTGCTAAGGGTACTGTTTTAGCCCCCATCCCTCCTTCTGCAAAATGAGCGGAGCACGTGATTTCGTAAGCTGAAAATTAACCATCCTCTTGGTGATATTCGTCATAATATAGTTATGATATTGTCTTTAGTCTTCCATTGCGCGAGCGCTTCTGCTGGGACAAATGGAGGTGGTGCACCATGAAGAAGTGGTGGTTAGTGGACTTTGATGTGTTATCATCGCGTTGTTGACGAATAGGAATTCAGGTTGTTAGGTTGGTAGTACCCCCGAAAACTGCGCGTGAAGTTAAAAAAGTCGCGTCGTGAAAGCACACAATCGGTCGTACATTGACCAGGCTTAGCTACTCGAGTTCGATGGGCGTTCACTAGCTTGTGTTATACGGCTTTTGCATACCCGGCTAGGGTACGTTTCATCGTTAGCACCAACCCAAGCGTGCATCCCTCGCTTGCCCACGGAGGGGGAAGGAAGCTCCGGGGTGGGGCCACCACCCGGGGGGTGGGGCTACCACTCGGGTAGCGGCCAGCCCGACAGGTGCCCGCCCGCGCCTATAGGTTATGGTGTCCATCGCGGAGAAGCTGCGTAACACGTACGCGCCCGATGTGTGCATTCACGACCAACACAATAAATTCTACGCGCAATTTTCGGGTGTACTGTATGGCCCTACGACCTGAACCTAGAATTAAATGCGGGTTCAATTCATTGAAGAGGAAAGACGTTTTCAGGAAAGTGTTGAAACGCGACCAGATACAGTAGAGCGCCCTGAAGGTGAAAAGTGCCTTTGCAAAGCAATGCATGCTATCTCACTTGCATGCTCATGAGTGATGAGGGAAGTAACCTTAGAGGGCGCCATCTCACCCCAGATGCGAGAGCCGTCATCGCCAACGTAAAGCAGTTCTTCGCTCAGCTGAAAGAACATCTCGGGGCCACAGCACGTGGAACCGTTTTGGATTCAGTGACAGCGATAACTGCCACGGCGTGCGGTGTGTCCGACAAAGCTGTCGAACGGGTTAGTAACACACCGGTCGGCCGTGCGATCCGTCGATCGGCCCCAAAAAGTCGTTCAGGAAAGCAGCGGTCATGGCCGCCATAAATAACCACGGTACGCTATGGGGTGAGCGTATAAAGCGTCTGGTTCACGAACTGCTGAAGGAAGAGAAGGATGTAACACTCGCGGAACTGCACCAACAAATGACTGCAGCCTATCCGAATTTCGCGCTGTCGTCGATGACTCTGTGGAGGCTGATGAAGGGCCTCGGGTTCTCGTATAAGCTTCTCAAGGGACAACGTTACATCTTCGAGCGCGCGGATCTTGCCCGCAAGCGATCCTTATACTTGAGAAAGGTGGAAGAGGCCCGAGAAAGAGGGGACTGCGTTGTCTACATGGACGAAACATGGGTCTTCGAAGGTATGGTCAAGAGGAGAGGATGGATCGACAACACGTTGTCGCGCTTCCCTACCGCCGAAGAGCTACGCAGTACTCTTGCGGCAAGACTGCTGGAAGAACAAGGGAAGGCGCGGCATTGTTATAACGGCACTGTGCGAAGGAGGAGTAATACCCGGTTGCACCCATGTTTTCATCAGTAGGCAACGGAATGCGCAGGACGACTATCACCGAGAGATGGATCACTCGGTGTTCGAGGAGTGGCTAAGGTCCCAGTCCCCTCCATGA